GGGCGAGCGATGTGCTGGCCGCGGTTTCTCGCCGCCCCCATTGGCCCAGGACGGCGAACCGCGGCCAGTGGGGGCCGCAATCGGCCAAACCTGCCACGTCAGCAGGTAAATAAAACTGGCCCGGCCCACCAGGGTGCTTACCCTGGTGAGCCGCGTGCCGAACGTTGCCGACCCCTGCTGTAGACTCAACCCCTGTTCCCATCTCCTCTTCCATTCCCATCACCCCTCCCAGTGAGTGTTTGCTGTGTAATTTATTTTCTTTTCAAATATAGTTTCAGCACCTTCTGAATTATCTCCTGCATACAGATTACATCTCAAAAAAGAAAATCAAAATCAAACAAAAAATCCACCCACCTTGAAATAGGCCTTGTCTACACTGCCAAGTTTTGTTGTCAAAAGTTACGCTGACAATCAAAAAATGCTATAATAATGTAACCCTTCTGCCAGTTGGAGTGGGCAGCAAGAAGGGCCGGGTTCAATATCTAGGGGGTTTCTTTTCAACAATATAACCAAAACCGCTTGAGCCCCCACCCAGTAAGGTGGGAAAATTTCACTTTACCCTCTGGGCACTTCTAAGAGGCAATTCTTCCCCTCTCGCAAGCACAGAGTCTGAGATAGAAATCGTTTCTTTAATAAAAGTAACCTTGCATTAATCTGAGAAAACAGCACAAGCGATATTCATAAACACAAAAGCATGAGCAAGATGGGTCGCTGCTCCCGCCGGCCGGATTAAGATCATTCAGATTAAGTTCATTTTATTTCAGTTTAGCTCATCAGTAAAAGTGTGATCTGGTGCAGAAGGCATTACCTTAACCCTGCATTTCTTTGTTATCTAATGTCTGTATTTTGTGGGTGTGAGTGTGGGTGTATTTTCTGTCTCTCAGAGAAGTCCAGTTTTCTGCTGCCAACTTCTGCGTTCTGGGAGGGTACAAGGCACAGCCGAGGCAACCTGAACTCCCCAGTAACAAAGTTTTTTGGTAGTGAATTAATTTAACATTTGTCTATACCAAGGGCGGGCAAACTTTTTGGCCTGACGGCTGCATCAGGTTTCAAAAATTGTATGGAGGGCCGGTTAGGGGAGGCTGTGCCCCCGCCATCATTCTGACCGCTCTCCCCCCCCCCGCTTCTCGCCCCCTGACTGACTCCCCGGGACTCCTGCCCCATCCAAATCCCCCTGTTCCCTGATGGCCCCCCTGGAACCCCTGACCTATCCACCCCCCCTGCTCCCTGTCCCTTGACCGTCCCCAGACCTCCCACCCCTAACTGACCCGTGCTGCCCTATCCAACCCCCCCTCCTTCCTGACTGTCCCCCCGGGATCCCTGCCCCATCCAACCCCCCTGTTCCCTGCCCTCTGACCGCCCCGGCCTCTGACCACCACCCCCGAACTCCCCTGCCCTCTATCCACCCACCTCCCTCGCTCCCTGCCCCCTTACCATGCTGCATGGAGCACCGGTGGCTGGCGGTGCAGCTGCACCAGGACAGGCAGCCGCGCCGCCCAGCTGGAGCCAGCCACGCCACCACGCAGCACAGAGCACCGGGTCAGGCCGGGCTCTGCAGCGGCGCTGCCCCAGGAGGTCGCAGCCCCACCGCCCAGAGCATTGTGGGACAGCGGGGGAGGGGCCGGGGGCTAGCCTCCTGGGCCAGGAGCTCAGGGGCCAGGCAGGAGGGTCCCACGGGCCGGATGTGGGCCGGGGGCTGTAGTTTGCACACCTCTAGTCTATACATACACATGCACTGGTTACAATGAAATAGTGCAAAACCCTATATGGACACTCTTAAATGGTTTGGAACGGCTCGTATTAATGTAGCTTGAGTTGATTCCTTCTTGATTTAAGAATGTCCACACCGGGGTTTGCACTGATTTAAAAAAAAAAAACCTTTAACGAAACTGGAGCAAGTTTGTGCATAGAACAGCCCTGACATTACGATTAATTCTATCAAATTGGAATCTGACCAGATTAACTGACCTGTTGCACTTGTGGACTCACATTCAGTTCTCAGTTTAATAGGAAATGGCTTTTGATAAATGTAATAAAACTTTCGGCTCATTACGGGGCACTGTAGGATTATCACAAGTTCATTTATTTCTTCTATAGGTTTGGGCTCTGCTCCTGTCATCTCTGTGGAGGGACATCAGGATGGAGGGGTCCGGGTTGTGTGTCGATCAGCCGGATGGTACCCAGAGCCCGAGGCTCAGTGGAGAGATCTCCAGGGGCAGCTCTTACCATCAGCCTCTGAAAAAATATCCCCAGGGGCCAATGGCCTGTTTCAAACAGAGATTGCCATTGTTATAACTGAAGAGTCCAACCAGAAAGTGTCCTGCTCTGTCAGGAACCCCCGACTCAACCAGGAGAGAGAGTCAGCGATTTCCATAGCAGGTCAGTGCCCGTCTGTGCCACACATGGATAGATTGAGATGTTGCAGACGTGAGCAGAGAGTATTTATCATTGTGTCTCCTGTTTATTGGCCTGAACCTTCAATGTGCTGAGCACTTCCTGTAAAATCCTGAACAACCTCAATTCTCTTTGGATATGTCTACACTGCAATTCAAAACCCGCTGGTGACCCAGGCCAGCTGGTTCAGGCTAAGGGCCTCAGGCTAAGGGCCTGTTAAATTGTGGTATAGATGTCTGAGCTTGGGCTGGACCCTGCTACATGCACTAAAAATTCCCCACTTTAAACCGGGAACAGATCAAAGTGCACCAGGAAACTTTTAGTGCAGTGCAGCAGGGTGCACACAGCCAGTTAGTGTGCAGCAGGCCAGTGCACGGTGGATTTACACCCCAGCCTGCCACGCACTAACTGTGCGTATAGACGAGCCACCGTAGAGCAAGGTGGGTGAGTTGTGCCCAATGCCTTAGGGAGACGCCTCCCTCTCAGTTCTGGGGTTCTTGTGTATTCAGATTCTGGATTCTAAGAAATAAAGTCATGCTACACTGCAACCTTCCAGCAGGAGTATTTATGCTTGTATCTTACAGTGTGTGTGTGTGTGTGTGTGTGTGTGTGTGTGTGTGTGTGTGTGTGTGTGTGTGTGCATACGCGC